CGGTAGGCAATTGGCAGGAGGCGGTCTCTCAGGGAGCCAGGTCCGATGCCATGTAGGGATTTAAAAGTAACAACTAGCACTTTGAAGCGTGTTCGGAGACCAATAGGAAGCCAGTGCAGCTCGCGGAGGATAGGTGTTACGTGGGTGAAGCGAGGTGCACCCACGATCACTCGCGCGGCCGCATTGTTGTCATATCCCATCAACTAAGAAAAATCTGCAGGATATTGAAACACAGATGTGATTCTCTGAGATAAATGCCAATCACTGTTCTCTGGCTTTCTCTGATTCTCCCACAGATCGAGGACATGCAGTGGTCAGGTGGACAGAAGGAGATCCCCTCATCAGTCTGCAGCCTCCCCTGTAACCCAGGAGAGAGGAAGAAGATGGTGAAAGGTGTCCCTTGCTGCTGGCACTGTGAGCTATGTGACGGCTACCAGTATCAACTGGATGAGTTCAACTGTGAAATGTGTCCCTTTGACATGCGGCCCAATCTCAATCGCACAGCCTGCCGCCCAACACCCATTGTCAAGCTGGAGTGGAGCTCCCCTTGGGCCATTCTGCCCATCTTCTTGGCCATTCTGGGCATCCTTGGCACTGTCTTCATCGTTATCACCTTCATCCGTTTCAACGACACCCCCATTGTCCGAGCCTCAGGTCGTGAGCTGAGCTATGTCCTGCTCACTGGGATTTTCCTCATCTATACCATCACTTTTCTGATGATTGCTGAACCAGGTGTTACCATCTGTGCCTTCCGGCGCCTTTTTCTTGGCTTGGGCATGGCCATCAGCTATTCAGCATTGCTGACCAAAACCAACCGCATCTATCGCATCTTTGAACAAGGCAAGAAGTCAGTGACTCCACCCAAATTCATCAGCCCCACCTCCCAACTGATAATCACCTTCAGCCTCACATCCGTGCAAGTTGTGGCTGTGGTCATCTGGCTGGGGGTGCAGCCACCCCATAGCATCATTGACTATGAAGAGCAACATACACCCAACCCAGAATTCGCCCGGGGCGTCCTCAAATGTGACATGTCAGACCTCTCTATCATCTCCTGCCTCAGCTACAGTATTGTTTTGATGGTTACCTGCACCGTCTATGCCATCAAGGCCCGTGGCGTGCCGGAGACCTTCAACGAGGCTAAACCCATTGGCTTCACCATGTACACAACCTGCATCGTCTGGCTGGCCTTTGTGCCCATCTTCTTTGGCACAGCTCAGTCAGCGGAGAAGGTGGGAGCAATCAGGACAAGGAGTGGGGTGGTACAAGAGACAACAGGATTTAAGTACAAGTAGTCCTCGGCTTACAGCCATTTGTTTAGCCATCGTTTGCTAAACAAGTTACAACAGCACCGAAAAAAATGACTTATAACTTGTCCTCACCCCTACAACTGTTGGGTCACACATCGCCACAGTAAACTCAGTTTGAGACCACAATGAAACCTAAGCAAGGCAGTTGTTACAGTACATGAGTTTGTGCTCAATTTTATGACCTTTTTGCCAAAGTTGTTAAGTGAATTGTGTGGGCATTAAGTGAATCCACTTTACCCTGTTGATTTGGCTTGTTGGAAGCTGGCTGGGAAGGCTCACCAATGGCAATCACATAACCCCGGGACATTGCAACCACTACAAATACATGCCCCTTGCCAAGCACCTGAATTTTGATCACATGACTGTGAGGAATGCTGCAACAGTTGTATGTTTGAGGATTGGCTGTAAGTTACTTTTTTTTTCCACTGGAGCTTAGAATGGTTGATAAACAAATAATTGTAAGTCGAGGGCTACTCATTAAGCTATGATGTCACTGTAACAGGCAACATGGACAAAGTCAGACCTGTTCTGTTTTTTCATTCTGTCTGCTAAGAAGCTGAATTAGGCACTTGCAAGAGCTTATGGCACCCTTTTCAAATCATTAAATCCATTCCCCAAATGGGAAAAATCATCCCAGTTTTGAGTGG